CAAGCCATCGAGGCACAGTATCACAGTATGCTTGGTATTCAGCTCCAAGTTCCCTTGTCAGAAACCGTTCTTCGGCGGGCACCACAATACGATCCAGATAAAGGATCATGGAAAGCAGCGACACACCCGACCAAGCAGTGTCAAATGCAATTGCCAAAGAAGCCTGTATTAAAAGTACGGCGATGTACATTCCATTTCGAGTCCAAGCAAAAGGGCCGCCGGTGGCAATCTTGGAAACACTCTGGAAGTTGGGGCCTGTTCCAACACGCTCCAACTCGCCTCGACAGGCACTGGCCAAAGAGAGACCCATACCAACACCCACCGCAAGAAAAAGAATACGAATCGTAAGCGATTGGATTGGCGTTGGAACGAAACGACAGCGCCTCTTGCTCAATTTCCAAAGAAGGAACGCCAGCAGGATTGAAAGAAGCAGCGCCAATGGTGGAAACATGGGGATATCACCACCAATCAATCCAACCCTCAATCGATGTGGTGCATCCTCAGCATAGACGAACGTAGAGAGTCGGCTGACTAATCGAGTCCAGAAAGTGCTCTCTTCGACAGAGGAGGAGGAGTATGTCATGGTGCTTATAACAATTAATTTGGTCGAGGATGGTTATGAGATTTGAAATGATGTGCAGTGACCGGTACCAGGTACGTTCCTACCTTAGGAAGCTCCTCCTTGCTCCTTGAGTGACACGGATCTTTTGCCGCACGATTTGACTTTTCGGAAGCAGTTTCTTGCAGCTGGTGGCTCAAATCCAACTTACCATTCTCTCCCACCTTGGGGGCAAGGTTTACCTCCAACTGCCTTCGACCGACTTCAACCGCTTTTGACCGACTTCAACCGCCTTTTTTACTGACTGTTTACCTCCATTTACCATCATTGGTTACGCTTTACCACCTTCTACCACCTCTTACTCACCATCTACCTAGATTCCTAAATTGCGTAACAATCTGTACCACCTCCTTGGCGAAGTCGGAAAACTCGAGTGACCTACTGGTCAAGACAATAACGGTTGGTTTGAGCCACCCCCTGCGGAAATGTACCACCCTGGTACCACGCATAAGCAATAATTTCATTTGCCTTGCGTTGCTACGGTCGAGTACGTTACTAGCTAGAACCAGGATAGCTAGTAACCAGGTACCCTTTACGCTGTACCGTGATCTTCAAAACTGCGCCAACTCTGTTTCTCTTTTTGACACCGAATTGGCAGCATTCATTGAATGCTGGATACAATTGGTTCCAACCGCGGGCTCAACAGTTATAGGTAACCTGCTTGACTAACTCACTCATCGTCCGCCAACCACCGAAGCAGCATCTCCCTGTGGATCAGGGCTGGGCGGAATGCAAAGTGTGGAATCCAATACGGTTACCATGTTAGCTACTAGAAAAACTAAGACTACCATGTTTATAAATCGTCTACCTGCAATAGAGGATGTCTCTACCCTACGTGCTCCTGCGCATCCTGAAGTTGCTTATAACGTCGAACCTCGCATGGGGTTGACTTGGACAGAAATGTATAATAGCCCCTGTAGTTTTCTTGATATCGTTATTTCGTTGTGTTTGCTTTGCTTTGCTTCCTCCGCTGTGTGATCAGCCACTGGCGTCTCAATTGTCAGACAGCCTCACCAGGGATGGATTTTGGGAAAGAAAGTAGTGGACGACCTTTGTGTCATCTCGATTGTCGCTAATGGCGTCAATCCAATCCTGACGGGTCGCTTGTCCACTCTCGAGCAAATGATGCCGGCCTGCTTGATTGAGTTTTAGATACAGTGCTATCAATGGATCATCTACGGTCGGGAGCTCAGCAAAGCTGACGACTCTGCTATTGTTGTTGAGCCCGAAAGGACCAAAGGAGCTGGTCTGGATTGCCCTCAACAGTGATTTGCTCGACAATACAATTGCTTATCAACATGTCCCGTGCCGCTTGCGCAGCCGGTAACAACTGCTGATACGGCGGAGACGGCTGAGGAGCAGGAAATGGCAGTGGTGGAGGAGGCAATGGTCCGGGAGGAGGTGGAGGCAAAAATCCCCTCTGCGGTCGCTGACGACCCCGAGGTGGCTGATGACCCGGCGGTGGCGGAGGAGCAGGCAATAGCATTCTTGCCGCTACTGGTAGGGGAGGAAGCAAAAATTGGGGTGGGAAAAGATCTGGTGGGGGGCCATCCCCGTGACGCCCGAAAGCAATGGCCTTGAGGGATCTGTTTTCCTTCAGAGCCGTCATAACTGGTTGGATGGATCTCAAGTCAAAGAGAGAGAGATTCAACTGTTCTAGGACAATATTTGGTTGTTCCAACACTCTTCCTAGTGCGCCGAACAAACTCAAGTTCTGTTTCGTGCATGGCGTCCAGGATATCACTGCCGTCTTGTGCTAGGAACGCCCACGGTGGAAAATGTCTCATTATTTCGGCGGGGTCAATCAGATCTACAAGGTCAATGGAAAGATGCCTTGCTTGAGATGCGACCGCACAAGCGATTCTGTTGTAGAGAACTCTCAAAGCTGCCGGGTTGCGACCGATTGAAACCCCTGCCACCAAATGAACGGTCTCAAGGTTTGGCAAATCGCTAAGAGCCGCAAGGAGTGCTTGCACCGACGCTTCCTCCTCGAACCCCGACAGAAACATGTCTGTCAGAGCCAAATGTTGCAGCGTGGACTTGGATTGCTGTACTAGCTGTGCCAAGGAACGAATTGGAATCTCAAACGAAAAGTTCGTAAGTCGAATCGATTCGAAGCGAAAGCCAGTGGACAACTGTGAAAACAAGTCCGTCATGAGCCGTGTTGCTTCTTCGGGGCTATAACCAGAGAAATGGGACTGTCTGGAACTGGAACGAAGGATGAGACGGTTCTGTGGCCGATGATGCACAAAGAGCAACGTCTCCATCACACCTTCGACCAAAAACCGGAGGCTGCCAAAGTTAATATCCAACATGGTGCCATCGTCATAGAGTGGGCGGGCATCCTCATTGCCGCCGTCAAAGCCGTCGTCTTGGATGATGTGGGCCATGGCGGACGATTATTTGGAATCGACTTTGCTTCTCCACGCTACCCGGAGTTTCTTGATCAATGAGTGTGGAAAAGTTTTGTGAGCGAAGATCTTTTGCACGGAGTTCTTGCGCTGTCAGTCGTGCTTCATTTCATTTACTCTTAACCTTAACGTTTGACAAAATGTGACTGAACTAAGTTCGTGGTAACTTTCGGTTGTTTGAATACTTCAAGATGAACTATCCGTATTCTCCCAACTCCCAATTCTCCTCATCTCTCCGGTCTCTCCAAGAATTTTCAGCGCCCGGAAAGATGGGGAGTTGTGGGTTTGGCCATTCGACTGTGACCTGCTGAGTATGATAAATCGAAGTACCCCGTACGAGTCTGTTAAATCATGCGCACACCATGGGTCATTCATACCAGCACCGTTGTCAATCGTTGATGCGATTTTGATTGAAGTGGCAGACTGACACTCTGGAGTCTGGAGCACTGTACCCCGCATTCTGCGCTTATTTTTTTAAACGTAGCTTTCTGCACCTGGAACCTGGAACGTCTCAACATCACAAATGAAAATCAAATGCACCCACCGCCTTCCTTGTCATTGCTCCTTCCGACCATTCGGGATTCTTTGGTTGATTGATATCGGTAAGGTTGTTGTTGTAGTAAAGCTCGGTTATTATTTGTTTCCAAACATGTTATTGAAAAAAACAGTGGCGTATAACTTGACCTTGTCGCCATCATGTTTCTCAGCGGCCTCACCAACAGCACTTAGGGCACCCCGTTTCTTCAAAGCATCGCGTAGGACTTGTTTCCTCGACAGCTGCTTCAAGACCCAACAACCACCATGTTGCACTAAAGCATTGTTTTGAAATTTCTTCATAACCGTCACAACCAGTTCAATTCCATTCAATTTATGAACAAAGCGATCCATGGCTTTGTCAATGGTTGGGTTATTAATAGTATGGAAAAATGCATTGCCAATTGCTCTGCAGCCTTGACGCTGGATTTCATCATCATCGGGAAATGACTTCATGGCTGCCATTATCGTCTCGATTCCTCCGGATTTGATAATAGAAACTGCAGAAGCAGTAGCTCTAGCTTTCTCATCATCATTAACAAAGTAGGTCAAGCGCACAAAAACTTTGCAACCATGACATTGAATTGATCTGTTACATTGCCACTTTCGCATCAACAATAAGACAATGGCAATGGCACCCGAAGAAATAGCTTGATCAGCGTTCACTTTGCAATTCGCATTCGATGAAGCAAGAAGGTCAAACAACTTTGCAACTGCAGCTGCAACTTTTTCCTCATCCTCCTGCTGCATGTCCACAAAAAGGAGCTTGGGAATCGCTTCGTTTCAATGGTGGTGTGGTTGCAATGGCTGTTGCCAGCCTCTGTCGCCGTCGACGGATTGTGAGCCCCGAATCCTCCTGAGAGCTTATTCTGGTTCATAACAAGAAGGGCTGTTTGGGCTGTGTCCTTCGATTGGTAAAGGTTTTCAACAATTCCCGTTTCATTATGGTTGACTGGTTTGACTTTGAACCCAAGAAGCTCCGCCTCAAATACCTCGTGGAATTGTTCAACACACGCATAGTATTTCTTGCCGATCTGGAAACCAGCACGTGGGTCGCCAACACAGCAACAACAGCACAGGGATATACTTACTTTGAGAATGGAACATGGCAGAAAATCGAAGACTGTGAACTTGTTGTTGACGGTTGCTTGTATAGGACGAACTTATATTATTTGTGTGAGCCACCGAAGAAACTTGCTTCTGTTTTATTAATAAAGCTGCTACAGGTACCATACGTACCGGAGCTGTACCGGTACGGTAGGGGGTACCGCAAATGACTGTCTGTCACCAAGTTCTTACGTATCTCTCTCTTCCTCTTTCGGTAACTAGTAGAGAGGAACAGTGTTGACCAGTTGAAAGACTATTGCATTAATATTCTTCAGAGACGTTGGTTGGGTTAGCCGAATTGAGGCTTGCTGCTACAGCCTCTCGAAGCCCCAGAATCGAGTGAAGAAGAATGGATTGTCGAAAATTCCAATTGCACCAGCAAGAACTTCTAGCTAGCTTGCCTCTATAGGTCTCTGTTCAATTGTCAGGATCCCGATCACAGTTAGCCTCCTTGGTTTCCGAGCATTCTGTATGCATATGTCCTTGCCAACCAAGACAAGAATACTTCGTGGTTGATGGCAGACCGTATATTGGTTAATGCATTCATGATAGTTTCGACTCGAAGTGTCACGCTTTGGGTAGTCTAGCTAGTACATATCATAGAAGAGGTGTTTGGGATGGGACACCCATCTTCTACATGGCTCAGGTGTGCGGGCTGGCCAGGCTTAGTTCTGCTTGGGTCTAAACAGCTCAAGAGGCTTCTGGAGAACTCCCTCCATCACTTTAGCTGTTATTATGATACAGTTATATATAAGGGGGTTTAGAGTAGGGAAATTATCTACGGAAGCCAGCCGGGGCCAGGCTTAAGCAAAGAACAGTCGAAATTCAGGACTAGGTTCTGAGGGATCAGGGGCAAGAAATTGAGGACCATTACGGGGGGCAAAGGGTTTGGCTTTGCGGGATCCACGGAGACATAAATGGGTAGCTTTCACAAGGGCAATTGAGATACGGGTCTGCATGAAGAACATTACATGGGGTATATTGGTGATACGACTGTACAGTGAAGGTACAGTTGTATATTAGTAATACAGTACCAGTACTAGTTGTTGCGTTACAATGAATGAGACAAACCACCGCCATGTTCCGAGCTTTAGGCAGCAGACTGACGCCACGAGGGGTAGTACTGAGTACATGTAGTAGATGCACTAGTAGAGTTGCTCATCATCATGTACACGTACCCGTTCAAAGAGGATTCTGGTCGCAAACAACACAATTATTCACAGAATCCACGTTTGACCCTCCGAAACGAAACCCACTCAACCATCCCCACATCTGCGCCCACTCCAACCACAAGAACACAAGAACCCCAAATCATCCTTTTCAGCAGCAAAAGATGGAAATGACCACAGAAACACAACGCCTGGAAGCGTTGGCGAGGGAATGGGAATGGCTACAAGCGCTCTCTAGTTCCTTCAAGGGCCCACCAAAATCTGAGGCCGACCTGGAAAAGCGAAAAGAGCACAAGCTTGAAGTGAAGCAGTTTCTGGCCAACCTGACGGCGGAGCAGCGAAACATGCTCATTCCCCCCAAAACCAAAACGACGAAAGCCTCTGAAAAGAAGAAGAACACAGGAAATACGGCAAAACCCAACAACAAGGGGGGAGCGCCCTCCAAGAAACGACGAGACCAGCGGAGAGAAGCTGCACAAGAGACATTGGAGGTCCTGAATACAGGACAGTACCACACGGAAGACGGACGCCTGGTTTCCATTGAACAGGATCTGCAAGCATCGGTGGAAGGGACCCGTCTTTATCGACCTGCCGACCCACTAGAAGAAAGTTTGATCCGCAAGGCGACAACCTTCCGAGGGCAAGCCTGTTTGGAAGTCCACAACGAAACCACTTTTGCTGGGGCAAGGGCACTGTTGCAACGAAATGCCGCCCGTGTTTGCGTTCTCAACTTTGCGTCGGCCAAAAGTCCGGGAGGTGGGTTTCTGAATGGCGCCAAAGCCCAAGAAGAAGACTTGGCCCTTCGATCGGGTCTTTATGCGTGCCTTTCAAGAGGGAATGGTGTTGCCGACTATTACACGGAAAACCAAACGACCCGCGATGGAATTTACACCCACCACATGATTTATTCTCCCGACGTGCCAGTCTTTCGGGAGGATGGCGAAGTGGGAAGATTTCTGGAGGTTCCCTGCCAGGTTTCCATCATTACATCCCCGGCACCCAATGCAACGGTATTCCAGCAAAAGAACACACGAGTGCGGAGCAAGAAACATGTCACCAAACAGACGAATCCACCCGACGACATGCCAGCAGAGTATTGGCAAATATTCCAGGAGAGAATCCGTCATGTCCTCCATGTGGCTATTGCGAATGGCCATTCGAACTTGGTCCTGGGGGCTTGGGGATGTGGCGTCTTTGGCAATGATCCCGCCAAGGTAGCGCAACTGTTTGCCACCGAGCTCCAGGCGGTGGCGGGGCATTTGGAAGCGGTCCGATTCTCCATTTGGGCGGGTGATCGTGTAGACGACCCGAATCTAGTGGCCTTTCAGCGGCAATTCGCGTAACGATAGTACATGTAGAATGTTCTTCCAGGCAAAAACAAATACATAAAGTAGATTTAGAATGGGAAAGTGTGAAACTTGGTGTGTGTTGTCCGAACGTAGCGATAGCATCTTTCACGGTACCACATGATTACGAGCCGTGCCTTCTTTGACAGTCTCAACCCACTTTTTTCTTGGCGTCAGTTCCGGACATGGAGAGGAGAGGCGCCGCCACAACCATATATGCCAACCATCCCATTGGTCCCATCAATAGAGCCATTGTCAAGAGCGGCAGCATCACCAGAATGTGAAATTTGATGGAGGCTCCTCGTTCGATCGAGTCCATGACCATCCACCGGCCAATCAAGGGATCGTAGGCACAATAGTGAACCCAGCAACCCAGCGCATTGGTGGGATCGGCAAACACCGTCATGACGCCAGTCAAAGTCAGAAAGTCCGGGGGTGCTTCGTCCGGACCTTTGGGGATCAGAAACAGTTCCGACACGAACAAGAGCGTGTAGACGAGCGCCAAAAGAAGAGGCGCCACCAACGAGAGCATGGGAGTGTGTTTCCATCGCGGTGCCAACATCAAGAGAGCCCAAGACACCGTACATAAATTGGTCAAGGGCCAAAGCTCCAGCGCATTAAAGCCACCCAGCAGGGGAATGGAAGGCAAATTGCCCAAGATTTGTTCTTCGGTTACCACGATGCTTTCGAGATTTTCTCTATCGGTAGCTCTCCTATTTCAACAGATAATTGCTGGTTTTTCCTAATTGTGGCTCCAAGATAGCTACTAGCTAGCTTTGATCTTCGTCTTCTCGGACTCATTCACGTCGGAGCAGCGGCATGATGGCTGATCATTCCCAGCGCTTCGTCACAGGATCCGGCTCCAAGATATGGGCGCATCTTCTTGGATCCCATCCATGGATACGACTAAAAACAAGACAGCACAGCCATCAAGGTACCAGTACCAGTACCAGTACCAGTACCAGTACCAGAGGTGTAACCAACAGGGCAGCTCAAAACTCCAAAAATTGGAAAGGCGACAAAGACCCTACGGTAGGCTAAAATCATCCAATTGACTAGCTAGAGGCTACGAATGTCATCGCTACATAAGCATTGCAAGCGATCGACGATTTGATGCGCTCTCGCAAAACACCACTGAATAAATGAGGGCGTCGACTCTGGTGACCCGAATATGCGACTCTAGACGGGCACGCTCTGGTTGCATTTGTCCTTGCACTCCATCATTGATGTCTTCAGGTCGGTTTCAATAGTCTTCAAGTTCAAGAAACACCATGCTTCACAACTGCTCATGGGTTCCGTTGCATCATTCAATCCTACCGAAACAACAGTCTCCGTCACTTCAGGAGCCGGTGGCTCGGTCGATCCACGCAGCCCAATGAAGGGAGAGTCTCCCAGCGAGCAGCTGCAGTGAGATCCAGAATCGCTGCAATGACAACTACAGTAAAACGGCCAAGTACACTGGCCTTCCACACAGGAACAGGGAGATTGCCCCTGGCAGGCACAGTTGTCTGCTGCAACAAACGGAATCAGCTCACTCCAAAAGACAACAAGAAGGGCTGCAGATGCCTTGGGTACAACCTTCATGTTTTCCTTATGTCGTTTATTAGTGTTGTGTAGATTGAACGGTTGAATGTAGAGCTACGAGGCCTCGAGAGTATGTATGGACGAAAGCTTTGTGCTTTTCTCATGCTCGACGACGGAGAGGAGAGTGTATTGTTGCCCGCCTCGGGATCCAATCCAGATGGGTCCGTTGTGGTTGTCTATTCGATCTGGGCCGTATGTTACGAAATACTTTAGAAGAGATCATGCCAAGATCTGTCCGACAGTTGATTCCCACACGAAAGGAGTGGCGTTCTCCCCCCACGAATCCATACCGGTAGCTACGGCGTAGAAGATCCAGGGTTTCGTGCAACGTACAGTAGGGCAGCGGGGAGTTCGCTCCAACAAAGATGCTGGGTCGCGAGATTACTGCATAAGCAACACGTGTCTCTTTGAGAGGCAACGAGTAAGTGCAATAATCTTCGAGGAGTCTTAGTACAAATGGAATTGCCATCTGTCTTTGTCTACTGACTTGTGGGTAGCACCGTTTTCACGCTCTCACTTGACTATCATTGAAATTAGTGCTGCTCACGGCAGAGACTTGCTGGGGTCTCAGCAGCGCCATCCGCCCGGAACACCTCTGGTCTATGACTCTCCTCTGGGACTGAATAGTCGTCGTAAGCAGAATCGGTAGTTTTTGAGCCGCTGGTGTTCCCTGCCAAGCGTCGGACCACTGGTCTTCCCCAGCAACTCGCCATTCGCGCCCCCGGCTTGAGCTCAGCCATCAGCAAAGCTGTCCAGCACCAGAGGCGACGGGGCCTTGCATCCTAGCCGACTGCTTTTCGGCACATTGCGGCTGGAATTACTAACTAGATGGCGGCAGAGTCGAATCTCAGTTACGTTCATCCCCGGTCCATTGCTCGGGGGGGGTCGTCCTCCGCAGAAGGCGTCTCTTCAGCAGGAGTGTGGCCTGGTGGGTCCAGTTCTTGACTTGTCATGTCAGCAGAAAAAGTTTTTGACTCTTCGTCCCTTCTCGTCGTCTCATCACCACCAATTGCCACCTTCTTTTCGGAGGGAAGCTCCTTGATATCGTGCGCTGGTTCACTTTGATCAAGCTCTTCCTCCTCCTTGACGGCATCCATGAGGTTCCCTGTACTCCGTTGTGGCTGCCGCTGCTGTTGTGGAACTGGCTCTTCAGTTGCAAAAGGATCCTCATTAAAGTCATTGAAACCGAGATTATCATCGTCGTCATCGCCCTGAAATTCCACTTGAGTCGTTACATCCGTTTCTCCTGGCAGGGTCCCCCTCCAACTGAAATTATTAATGCTGAATGTCGAACTCGACATTCGAAACGGGTTGCGCACCCTCAACGAGGATTGTCGAGGTCTCATGGAATCCAATTGCCGCGATGATCCGCTGATCACATACTTGACGGGAGTTGCAATGGTGTCTAACAAGACATACAAGTAGGCCATGAGCAGCCATGTTCCAGGATGATCTTTCTGGTATTTGGCACACTTGGGGGCCAAAAAGATGATCATATTAAAGAATCCTTGAAAGGGTAGTAGGATATAGGACATGATCATCATGGGCGTTCCCTGTTTGGCAAAGTGAATGATAAAGCTAGGACAGATCCAACACAAGTAAAAGCCAAATGTGTACAAGATCATGGTTCGTCGAATGCGTCTCGACTTGGTTCGATGCGCGTCGGTTCGCTGAAAGGAGGCAATGTACCGGGAATTTCGGTCCTCCTGTTTCCGCACGGTCCAGTAGACCTGGAGCATGGAGTAGGTGCAAAAGACCCCCATGATGGACAGATTGGTGAGGTAGATTGTATAGTATGCCTGGCTTAGTTTGGGACTCCCACGGAGACACTCCGTCTCGCCGTCTCCCCAAAAGATCCAATCCCCGCACCAAATGGGCAACGGTGCCGGCAAACAGGTGGAGCATTCGGGATTGTACCCCTGAAAAAAGAGGGGGATTGTCGCCAATACTACCGAAATAAAGAAAATGGCTCCGTGGGACCACCGTTCAATGTATTTGTGAAAATCGAGTGGTGTCCATCGGAACGTCACCAAAAGCAGGGTATGGAGCGACAACAATATTTGATAGTATTGGGCACCCGGTACGCCCAACCAAAAGAAGAAACCCTGCATTGTGCACTGCCAAAAGCAAAACAAAAGAACCACTTAAATTAGACAAGTCCGCCAACTTGAAAGCTTAGAGAAGGTATGGTACATTGCGAGTACTAATAAAACTCACTGTTTGGGTATTGCCACTGGCACCGTAGTGACCGGTCTCTGCGGGCATTAACCAGCTACCCATGAACCAGGGAAAGAAACTCCATATAATATCATACAAACTGAGGCCCACCATGATGCGGCAATAGGGATCGATACTACGGGGAGCGCGACGCCATTTCTGATAAATCGTTGCCAAAATAAACGAGCTGCCAAACACACTCAGGCCAGAAAAGATTTTGCGAATCACAGTGGCGGTCACCTCTTCCTCCTCCCCGGGAGTGCACTGGTACGGGACGATGGTCTCTCCCGGAATGTAAAGGGAAGACGACGACATGGTTGATCAGTCTACAGTCTACTCTTTTTGATAAAAAAAGCCCAGATAGACCAGCTAGCTAGACTAGACTTTGTAGAGGAATTGTGAAGGAACCGTGGGCATGGCACCACAACGAACGTCCCCAGTCAAGCAAAAATGCACAGCAAAATCAGCCTGCAGCAAACAACAGTGCTTCAGTGCCGTATCAGCTAACTGAGACATAAGTAATTCAGGTAGATGCGATAAATATAATATTTATCCAGAATTGGTTTGCCTCATCTACCTTTCATAGCGTTCTTCCTGGATGACGGTGGAACCATCGGAATTAAAAGTGAATACCTGGGCGCTTTTAGCCGTCGGTTGGTTTCCCTTTCGATTGAGACACCGTATGCTGAGAGAGCTGCTTTACAGTAGAAGATCACACGATTATGAAAATAAAAGAAAATAGGGCAGTGCACTTGAATGTGCCCACGTGTTGGTCTATCCGGCTACCAAGCTAGCTAGATCCTGTGGCCTCCGAACGCTCAATGATGACCGGAAGTCCAAGGTGTACGTACTGACAGGGGGTAGAGAGCACTACATACAGCCTGTGCATATGAACAGGGAGGATGCCCGCAGATTGAGAGCAAGGCCAGCCATTTTTTTGGCCTGAATTCAAAAACGTCCAATTTCCTGTGCAATCGAACAGGATAGCGACGCCTGTTCAATTGCACAGGAAATGGACGGCCTGTGCAATCGAACAGGATGGCGACGCCTGTTCAATTGCACAGGAAATGGACGGCCTGCCTGTTCATATGTACAGGAGGCTGTACATACATATCAGGGTGTGGTACTCACACTGTTTTAGCATGTGAGTGCGGGTACTGAGTAGGTACTCAGAATCCTGGAAGTGAGTACGGGTACTAGGTAGTACTCAGAATTTCTGAGGTCAAGTGGGTACAGGTACTATGTGACTCCAGGTATTTTTTGGGTACTATGGTATACTCACTGAGTACTCATATACCAATTACTTAGAGAATTTATCTTTGCAATTGGGCCCAAAGTGAGAAAATAATGATCTTTTTGCTGTTTCGCGGTGAGAAAGTACCCACCGAGTACTCACAAAGTACCTATTCAGTACTCATGGTACTCGGTGAGTACTGATCGAAAGTACTCATCGAGTACCCACCGAAGACTCACAAAGTACTCGGAATCTAGAGATAAGTGAGTACGGGTACTGAGTAGTACTCAGAATTTCGGAGGTCATGTGAGTATGGGTACTGAGTAGGCCCAGTACTCAGTACCCGTACTCACATCGAGTACCCGCAGCAGGTACTCACGAATCGAAACCCGACCCTAAATTAGGGACGGTTTTTCAGAAACCGTCCTTATTTTTAGGGTCGGTTTCGAAACCCGACCCTAAATCCGACCCTAAAATAGGGTCAGTTTCATGCACGATTGAGGAACGCTCCTGCTATCTCGCAGGCTGAGGTATGGACGTCTCCACCCGTAATCATTCAAGTAGCTGGCTCTCTCAATCTTATTCCAACGCTCGGTCACAATACTCGCAACCGATCGGAGCCCAACACTGCTATTGTGCACTGGCTCCCAAAGGAATTCTCTACCAATACTGCTGAGTTTCGCACTAAAACGCTTGCACTAAAACGCTTGCACCATATTTTGTCAACGCTTGTCGTGCTTCTGGCTTTGTTGTACGACTCAGGGGTTTCGGGAAATCAAAAGGTATTGCTGCCTTCAACCAGCATGCAGAAGCACGTCCGATTTCCTGTGCAATTGTACAAGAACCAACCTCCTGTACAATTGCACAGGAATCACGTCGATACGACCTCCTGTACAATTGTACAGGAATCACGTCGATCCTGTACAATTGCACAGGAATCACATCGATCCTGTACAATTGCACAGGAATCACGTCGCCTGTACAATTGCACAGGAATCGCGTCGCCTGCCAGGCCAAAATTTGACTGCAGGCTGGCTCTCTAAAAATCCTGTTCATGTGCACAGGCTGTATGTAGTGCTCTCTACCCCCTGTCCGCAAGGAATACCCACAGTTCTGCGACCTCAAGTTGCCGGAAGAAGGGCTCAAAATCAACTTTGGCTGGAAGCTGAGTTTCATCAACATGGCATCCCATTATTTTGGCGACGGCAATGGCAACAGTTCAACCGATGGTTCAACTCCAATTCCGCTGCAGACCAGTTTGAGCTGGTATTGGGTATTGGATTCCCAGGTAACTGTGGGATCCATGGCCACCTCTGCAAGTGTTGTGACGGATGCCTAGCTAGCTAGACCAATACATTTGTGATTATGACATTGTTTGGGCGGGCTCTAGCCAGACATTGGCACCACTAGCTAGATCACCGTATTTCGCAATTTACGGTCAGTTGCATGTCCGTGCTACCCTACCAATAGGCTATTAATACTATTAATAGTAGCTAACCACCACTGATGGTTTCGGTGACTTTTATTACGCGGCACGCTTTGCACTATGTTATTAATGCTTTTTATTCTCCACATAAGCCTTTTCTTTCCAACATGTACGTCTGGAAACCACAACTCATGATATGCAAACCAAACAGGCAAGCACACGTCTGGCGGACACCAATGCTGTGTGGTTGTGTTGCTATCTTCATAAAATGCAGTGACATAGCGAGCACAAGCTAGCTACCAGTGCAGAATACCGCAGCCGATGACATACATAGAAGGACGCCTCGAACTCGAAATCAACCCCAACCTCACCCATTTCGTGGGGTGCCACGGCATGGGCCTTTTCGGAAAGAAGAATCCCAAGTGGTACCCTTGCGTTGTCACGGAGGACAACCAAGACGGAACCATCAAGGTCCGATGGGTCGACGATGGGAGGTTCACCAAGCAGTTTCCTGTGGAGAAGTTCCGCCCGGATACCCAAGTGGGAGCTATGATCGAAAGAATCACAAACAAAAAAAGAAAAGGCTACTCCGTCAAAGAGGGCATCTCTTCCCCAACAGAAGACGGTTCGCGCCTTACCTTTGAGTTTGTGGGAGAATCAGTATTCTTTGAAATGTTCCACAATCGGTCCAGCAAAGCCGCGCGCGAGCATGAACTCATGGTGGAGATTTCTCGCTCTCCAGTCGAAGGTTTGGCCTTGTGCAGTGATCGATGGGAGCTTTCCGCAACGGCTGTGGTGGCCGTCCTTGAGGGGTCTCGCTCCACATTGCGGAAACTAAAGTTGCACTGCGTAAGATTTGGCGGCCGAGTCAGTGAATTCTTGGCCGCTTCAATAGAGAGCCACCCCTTCCTCGAGGAGATTGATTTCAAGGGCCTGGACGTTAATGAAGGTGGGCACGTGGATTGGTACCGGTTCATTGTTGCGTTGGCAACGTGCCCTCGGTTAAAGTGCGTCACGATTGAGTTCTCTGATAGCATGGGAAACCAGAAGTGCGATGAAGGTCACTCGATCGGGGATGCTTTCGCCCGGTTGTGCGCCTCACCCTGCCTAGAAACGTTGATCCTTGTGAACTGTCCCTTTGTCCAAACGGAGCCCCTGGTCGCCGTCTTTAAGACCCTCGAAGCAAGCACAACCTTGAAACATTTGACCATCCAATCGGATTGGAGGATCAAGAAACCGCAACTTATCAACTGCCTTGCCACAATGCTGAAAAAGAGCAAGTCAATCGAAACCTTGTCGATCCCACTGAGAATCGGCTCAGCGACCCCAGTTGCGCTGGCATTGTATACAAACCGGACACTCAAACGTTTGGAGTTACGGGAGGGCGGATACGATTGTGCCAATAGCAGGTTCTACAGCGGCGCGGCGAATGCTTTGGCCAACAATAGTGTCTTGACGCACCTCATCGTGTCTGGGAAAGATGTTTTAACCATCTCCGATCAACTTTGCAAGAACTATGACTTTGAACACAATGGCGGGGCGGTCTACCGAAAGCTTCTCTTGTACCTCAGAATGAACCAAGCCGGAAGGGCAGACCTGTTGCTCGAACGAAAATCAGAGAGGGAGGTGGTCGAAACCATTGCTGCTCACGCGGAAGACACGGACATGACATTCTGCTTCCTCAAGATGAACCAGTCCTTTTTCAAGGCAAAAATAAAAGCCAAGCCATGAAGCTGGTACCATGAATATATAGCGAAACCCTAACGTGCTCATTAGGAAGAGGAGTAGTGGTGTAGTGGTCTGGCTTTGCTTTTAAGAACGCACCCGTACCTATGGTGAGGAAGAAGGATCCATTTGGACATTGCAACCGACTCTGACAACCACCGGTACTCTCCACACTTCAGTCTCCTCGATACCAGGTACGCTGACCGCCAGCCTTCCATCCTCAAATTCTTGTCGAGCGCAGCTGCATGGTGGACAGGGTCTAGACTACTCAAAGGGTACTGTACCAGTACTAGTAGGCCTACCGGTACCTTGGCAAATCACGGTTAAAAGATCAGGAGCGCCTGGTCAAAGCAAGAAGATCAGTCGTGGATACTTCACTTTTTCAAAGGTCGAAGGTCTGGGTCGCTGGATCCTTGAAAGGCTGGCAACATCATGTCACTTATCTTCTCATTCTTTTGTCCCTTTTCGAAGCAGCAACAGCAAACCAACCCAGGGTGTTATCTGCCGTATCCGCCTGCACAAGAAATTGACAATGAAACTTGCTCTTTCTGCGTTGCAGTTCTTCTACTGTCCAGCGCTATTCCTTGCTGGCTCGGCAATGGCGCAGAACAACGAGACTACCAGCGTCGAAATGTACGATTTCCTTTATAACATCGTCGGTGATGATCCTGGCGCAGGATGGGCAGACTCCTACAATATAGGCGACGAATGCTTCTGCTCCATCACAACATTCGATCATGGGATTGGCGTCATGCTCGTTGAATGGAAGGAAGGATACTGGGCGTCCGTCGAAGATATTTGCAATGCTTTGGGAGAACCGCCTGATTTGAATATGACCCAATTGGGTGTCTCAATTCCAGTCTACAACGATGTCCAATGTGGCAGAGGACCACCCAATGATGCCGGAGATGAACACCGATGCCCAGGTCGCGTAGATATGGGCCCCGAAGGATGCGGGCAACTAGGGCCATTTTGGAATACGACCAAGCTGGAAGAGACGCTGTTGGACAAGAATGCCGCCATTACTCCAATTCCAGCCGGTGTACACCCCGATATCCAATTTGTCTTGAATCTCACGACCACCACAGAGCCAGGTGGTGAGGGTTGGCACGACAGTTACTCTGTGGGGGATGAATGCTTCTGCAGCACCACTTTTGACCACGATATTGGCGAGGCTGTGGTTGATACCCCATTCGGTTTCCTCACCCTGCTGCAGGCCTGCACTTTGTTGGGTCCTGGCCCCGGGGCTGAGAACCGTCCCGTCTACAATGATGTCCAATGTGGCAATGGACCACCAAACGATGCAGGTGATGAACAGATTTGCCCCGGTAGGGTGGACATTGGAGCAGAAGGTTGTGGGCACATTGGACCCAAGTGGAACTGGGACAAAGTCCCCGCCAATGTAACCATTCCACCTTACGTTGCATCTTCGTCTTCCGACAATTGGTTCTGGCGCGGCTTTGGTTTCCCAGCTGCAATCATGCTCGTCTTGGCGCTTGCATGCTCTTAATTTTAAAAGCTGCTGGCTAAGAGCGATGGATGGGACTAGTTACTGGTAGAAATCAGAAGGAAAGGAAAGGATCAAAAGCGGGATCATAGAAAGAGCGCAGAAAAAAGAGAGTGTCCACGGTAGTGTGATCTCAAGTCACACCACAATACCAACATCCTTGCACCTCTAACACGAGAGTCTGTTTCATTGCTGCGGCATGACTATTAATAGTGGCATGCGGTGCCCCGAAAAGCAAGTACATGTAGCTATATTCTGTTTTAAAATGATGCAAAAGTATACAGGTGGTGGTTCGTTCAAGTCAACCAACGAGAAGAATTGGGGGGGATCCGCTTTCGTAGCAGCATACAAAATAGTGGAGCCAGTGACTTGATCTGATCCAAAGTCAGAAAGGTGGTCTGGTAGTGTCGAGTGTTGCTTGTCTATCTCTCGTTGGATGATTGATTGCATGTGGCTGTCTCTCCTGACTTGACTCTACTGGCTAGGAAACCTTGACTTCACTATAATAGGTTGTTCCCTTTGCTTTGCCCATTTGGGATGCTGTATAAAACAGTCCCAGAGACCCTGCCAGCAGCGATAGTCCCAACATGGGTCGATAAAAGATCCATGCAATGGATGCCACCAACAAGGTCGTGCAGTTGGCCAGAATCAAATGGGCGACCGAGACACCCAAATTAATCACGGACGTTGCCATGGGTCCCAAGAGGGGGATCCAATTCAAGGTAATATCTGCCGTGGTGGTCACAATTTGGATAATCATGGAAAAGCCCACGAGATTCAAGATCCAACCACCGATGCGACACATCCACGTGCGTTCCGAATTGGCGGATTGTGCCGATCCAATCATCTCATTGGCACTGACGGCTCCGTATGCCAATTCGGCCACTTCGTATCCTGATCCTTGTTGGCTTTGCCACTGGGTGAGAATGTTGGAAGATGATGATCCGGAGATTTTGGCCAATACGCTAACCAATGCGCAAGGGACTTCGGTAAAGGTGACTCGTACGTCTCCAATTTCGGGTGTGTCGGTACTCAGGCTACGCTCGACCGCCGCCAGAGCCTTTTGACGTGTCGAATAGGATTCCCCCGTGGCTTTGACCAAAAACATGGTTCGTTCTTCGCCATCAATTCTCATGGTTGTTTCTTGAATCGTCGACTGATCAGATCCACCACCACCAGGAAGGGCAGCTGCAGCAGAGTCGCTTCTGCGTGGCAAGTAAATGGCACTTCCCGATCGTTGCGCCCCGTCCGGCAATGTCTTGACTTGGTTGGGCAGTACGCCGGTGGATCGTTGGAGCTGTCGTGTCAACACCGAACTCAACAAGTAGACTCCCATGTGGACTTGATCGGTTTGAAAGGATTCCGACGGCATGGGTAACTGTCCACAACAATTCTCGTGTGCTTCTGGATGTCGAAAATCATCCGAATCAATGGGATGTGTCACCCATTTCTTGTTGTATTTGACAATCTCTTGGACTTCTGTAACATCACCCTTTTTGACTTCTTTTTGTTTGACAGTCTCCACCCATTGATAAATTTCCACCTGGCGTTGGAGTGACACAGCTTGAGGTCGGTACAATCCAAACAGGGGATCCTCAACGGCGCCGTCCGTATGCAGCATGTGCGTCATGTGGGCCAATTTGCCGCGATGGAGATGAGCCTTGGTAGTATCGTCGGCATTGGGAATTTCCACAAAGGCTTCCAAAGCTTCGTTCAAGCTTCGATGTGTTTTGATGGCCCATTTTTCATTGTACCAGAGTAACAGACAGCCCAAAAAGACCACAAAGGGACCCATCAACAATGCTTGAAGACTGTTTCCCACTTTGGCACCGGCACTGGGAGGTCTTTCGTTGCCAACTGTCGTTACAAATGTGTTGCCATTGCCACCACCACCACCTGGGTTTCCACTGCCGCTACTACTAGACACGGAACCTCCTCCTCGGGGCGATGCCATGGTGTTTCTACCACTTCGCGTCTTCACCATGGTGCTTCTTTCTTCTTTGAAAGCTACCAGAATGTGTATCGATAGCTACCAGAATCGAATCCTAAAGATTTCGGGGAGTGAGAAAGACCCAAAGGTAGCACAGTGGCTCCGAGCCCAGGGGCGAATGTCTCCTTTGTTAGTCACTCGTTGTCCCGAATGGCTTTTCTTACTCTCTAGCTAGTATGTACGTGATGTCCACAAGATAGCTAGCAGGCATTTGCCACTTTGCCACTCTATTTTCGTTATTCCCACTTTATCGGGAGCGTTCCAGGAAGCAATGATTTTGTTTAGTGGTTTTAGCAATGCTGCCCAACATGTACGGTACCGGTAGGGGTTGCCCCCTTCCGACTCTACGGTACCGGTACTGCAGTCACAATGTGAATCGAATCAAATCCTGCCTGTCCTATAATGCTGAAGAAGGGCTTCCAGTTGGCTTGGAATCCTGAAAACCTTACGTGAAAGTGCGTGCACTTCCAAAGGTGGATTAGATTGCTTGCTATGTTTGCTGCCATAGTATTGACCAGGAGCGATTGAATGCATGTTGATGGCTCCTGTTATTGATTGAATAATTCAATCGTTCTGGTGTTTGATCCCATCGTGCGTGGTGTGCTTTTCGAGACTACAGACCGGCGCATGGTCGAGCAACACCTCTCAGTCAAAGCACCAACCCAGATCAAGGATCGACAGGACACGAAAGTGCCCGCAGATCCGATGATGTCGTCAACCAACCAGCTAGCTAGTACACAGATAGCAACCAGTATCTATATAGCTAGCCAGCCGTTCATCTCTAGCTACTGTAGCTAGCTATGGATAGCTTCTAGTCAGATCTCAGGTTTTTGTGCAAACCTTTCCAGTTGAAGCAATCTTTCAGATTTCGGGAGCGAAGCACTGTGTGACAGGGTATATAGCTTTTGCCGTGGCTTGCATCCCTTGTATTGCTCTGGCTGCATCCCTTGTATTGCTCTGGCCACCATGGAGTTGTCTTATGCGTACGCTCATTTTGACCCTCGGATCCAGAATGCCGGCAATGGCAACAAAGAGTTATGCCGTGTCCTTGGCGCGTGCCGTGGGGCGAAGGTGTCCCCTGCTACTCTTCGACGTCTGGGGGACGAGCTGGCACCTACCAAGCCCCAGAAGGCTGCAGCTCAAAAAGCAATCGACCAGGTTGTTCGCGCTGTCCAATCTCTTCCAAATTTTGGCGTTGACAGGTGCTGCGTGTCAGGATCGTTTGGGAAGGGAACGGCACTGCGTAATTTTGATATAGATCTTGTCTTGTTCCTGAACAACGAGCAGCCTCCAATTTCAAACAGTCTCCGGGTATTGACAAGGCAGCTGCCTTCAATGCTTCCAGGCCTTGACATGGAGATGACAACACCTTACTCAGTGCAGTTTTGTTTGGATGGGTTCAATTTTGACCTCCTTCCAGCACCCAACTTCACAAAAGCTAATCACAGCGATAAGGAGCAGATGCAGTACAAAGAGTCCATGAAGAAAATTGCAGCTTTGGATGAAAAAAATTCGCCAAGGATGTACGATAGTGGGGTCCAGCTTTGGCCGAGTCCACTGTGAAGTATATGAAGTCCCAGCCTCCCTTTGTGAATGCTGCTGTCAGGCTGGCTGTTCTTATAGAAGAGTAGAGTGGGGCACTTTGTTCAAACCAATCTACTGGCTCTATGCTAATCCTAGGCTAATGATAGCTGTAGTCAACTGTTGCTTTGCAAAGTTGAGATCTAAGGATTGTGAGGCTATGCCTCTTATTCTGTTTGATGAAATCTGCCTCCAATCTGATCGCTTGGGAGTCAATTTCCACAAAATGAGCAGATTATGCTCTACATGCTCTCACACTTAGTGAGCTAGTGTCCTGGTGCTGTCCTAGCAAGACTTTGCTTGCTTTGAGGGCTTTTCACCTCATTATCTTACACTCCCTCTCACTCGGTTGCTAAGTGAGAGCAGCATCATTGGTACGTAAATTGTCGTTGTCGCTTGCGATCTGTAGCTTGCTACCATCCCATCATGCTGAGCCGATGTCTCTTGAGTGTCGTCTCGTCATTTGGCTTTGTGAGGCAATCAGCCTGTTGATTGTCGGTGTCGACATGCTGGATGTCTATCTGTCCACTTGCGATCCATGATCGAAAGTGGTGGTATTTGATGTTGATGTGCTTGGTCCGTGGGCGCATTGCTGGCGCCTTAGCCAGTGCCAAAGCTCCACTGTTGTCCTCGAATGCTTTGCACTTGACGGTGGGTGTGTTGCTGCCTGTTGGGTATCCCTCGTCATTCATCTCTGCCACTAGCTCCATGAGCGGTATTACTCGTCTGAGAGCTTGGCTCAGGCACACATACTCTGCTTCTGTTGTGCTCAGTGTTATCTCTGTTTGTAGTTGACTCTTCCATGAGATCAGACAACCCAAGAACTTGACCAGGTAACCGGATCTTGATCTTGCAGTATCAGCATCTTGTTGGGCGTCCTCTTGCTTCCAGTTGCCACTGTAGTCTGCATCGGCCCACACCTCAAACTGGTCGTTCTTCACGTTCATGTAGAAGCCTTTATCGTGTGTTCCTTTGAGGTACCTTCCTATTCGCTTCACTGCTATGCCATGCTCTCGCTTTGGGTTGGCTGCGAACCTCGCGCATTGGTGGACGGCATAGGATATGTCTGGTCTTGTGCATTTCTCAAGGTAGTTGAGTTTGCCAATGACGCTGCGATAGTTGAAGTGCCCGTCGAAGTCGGTTGAGTCATCGTATCGGGTAATGATTGTTGAGCTGCATGCTGGCGTCTCCTTTGTCTCCACGTTGTCACCGTCCAGCCGAAGGTCCTTCAGTATCTGTTCGATGAGTTGTGGTTGCGATAGGTGGTAGTTTTCTTCATCGATCGGTGTGATATTGACACCTAGGAAGTCCTCTAGCCCTCCCTCTTCTTCGGTCACATCCAGACCTGTTGCTGCAATCTGTTTCACGATCTCTTGTAATTCTGCATCGTCTCGACCGGCTAGGATCGAGCCATCCGTATATAACAGGTAGATTGCCTTTCTCTTGTAGAAGATGCACTCATCATATTGGCTCTGTTTGAATCCGATGGACAGTAGACGGCTCACCAAATGTTGATTCCACACTCGTCCTGCCTGTCTCTGACCGTAGATGTTCTTCTCCACTTTTAGCACATAGCTCCCTTCGCTTTTGATGTCTATTCCTTTTGGGATCTTCATGTAACATTCTCTTTCGACGTCAGCTTGTGGGAATGCCAACACGTAGTCAAGCTGCCTTGTATGCCACTTGTTCCTTAGGATCATTGCGAGGAGCACTCTGATTGATTCCCATGATGCTACTGGAGCGTAGGTTTGGTCATAATGCTTTCCTGCTATTTGCTTCGATCCATCTAGATTCAGCCTTGCCTTCCACTTGTATACTTCTCGTGTAAGCACTCTTCGCTTTCTTCTCATTGCCCACACCGCAGGAAACAGGTCAGCTCCCTCTGGCATCGACTCCTCTGGAACCAGTTTCATGATTCCTTTGGTCAGCATGTCGTTGAACTCTTTATGAACTGCATCCATGAACTGTTCCTTGTCCGGTTGCTTCATAGCCTGGTGGTAGTACATGATGTCAGGGTCAGCAGCTGCTGCCAGTGCGACGATATCTTCCTCTACTTGGATCATTGACTTCAAGCAGAACAGTTCGTTGTTTCCGTCTCCCTCTTGCTCTAGCAAGGTCTCGAACTCTTCTATAAATCGCGCTGACTTCTTTCCTTTGTTGGCTCTGGAGCTGACTCTTGTCGGTTGCCTCGTCTCGACTGACTCCCTCTGCTTCTTGCATCTTCGCCCGCTCTGTGACGTCTCTTTGTCGTCGTCGGGTTGAGCTGCTGTTTCTGATTGCTCCTGTGTTAGCGCCTCGTTTTGCTGTGTACTTGCGCCTGAATCTTCCGTGGGAGTTTCAACTGGCTCGATCTGTTCGTCTCCCTCTGAAGCTCCGTTGTTGCTCTCATAGTTTTCTGACGGCGCTGTTGCTTCATGTTGTTCGTCGGCAGTGTCGGCCGAAGGAAGGAATGATGGTGCTCAGTCCTGTTTGATGTCTCTGTCAACTGCTTTCGGCTTGGATCCTCCTTGTAGCCCTGCCATTGCTTGCCAGTGCGAGTTTGGGACTTTGTTGCCAGATGATGGGTGAACCGTTTCGAACGATGGATCGAAGTACACATGGAATTGGGGAGACACTCGGCCAGTAGATAAGTTCAAAACAAGTGCCACTGATCTGGAATGAGTTGGTGATCTGCCAATGTAAATTCCTAATCGGCTTCTCTCCCTCCACTTGTTTTGAAAGTTTCCTGCCTGACGGGTGTCGGACAGTACGTAGACGGGACAGGCAAAAGGGTACCACTGTTTGTGGTTGATGTCGACATTGCTGCCACTGAACACTTGCAGTGGGGTGAGTTTGTTGTCATGAGAGGGTGCAGGCGTGTTGCTAAGTGAATCCATTGCCATGCGTACTGCATACGGCCAAAGGTTAGCGCTGATGGCGTCGGGCCATCGGTGGTTGGCATGAATCAGTGTAGTTCGTGCGAGGTCCTGGAGCGAACGGATCTTTCTTTCAGCCTTTCCGTTCTGATGATATGCATTGACGCCAGCAAATGTGAGCCCTTGACCTTGGCGACGACAGGAGTCGCGCCATGCCTTGGCGGCAAAAATTCCATTATCTGCGTGGTAATGCTTGACTCTTACACCGACTGAAGCTGCATATGTTTCGAAGGCTTCCTTGGCTGCGTCGAGTTCCTCACTGCTTTGGCTTTTGAGTAAGCACGTGTAAGTGAAATCCGAGTAGTGGTCAACGAACACGCACACATGTTGGTATCTGGCCCGTGTCAGTTTGCCTGCCATTTGTGCGACTAGTCCAGGTGTTGCAGACGTGGAGATGTCCACAGAAACACAGTCACCCGATCCTGTGACGGTGGCAACGTTTATCTTGTTCTTGGCTTTGGTGCGCCTTGCCTTCTTGGTGCTCTTTCCATACATGCATGGGCCACAGATCGGTAGTGCACACTTTGCCAGGCTTCTGGGTATAATGCCAGCTTTGGCCATGAGTTGGAGGCGTTTAGCTGAGACATGCCCGAACGCATAGTGGTAGTGGAGGAGTTCTGCTGA